CTTACTTCCAATTTTTATTATTATTTACAGAAATATATAATAGAATAGAAATATGATTTAAAATTCGGTGCTGGTGATGGGCCAAACCTCTGTAGAGTAAAAAAAGTAGATGTTAGTTCCACATTTATTGAAAATATATTTTGGTCTGGGTTGACCCTCGTCAGTTCTAACAATGAAAAAACCATCAAAATCGTTAAAAAAAAAAAATTTAAAAAATTATAAAAAACCACAAGAAAATAAACAAAGAAAAAAGATTATTTAAAAAAAAAAAAATTTTGGGCTGTCAAATGGACGTAAGGGAAACGAACTCAGATTATGAGATGGAAAAAAGATAATTTGCAAATATTCACTTAAAAAAAAAAAATTTTTAAACAATTATTATTCCTTGAGATTGTTTCTGTCACAAAGATTAAAAACAAACTGTTTAGATGTTATAAACTTACAGGGATGGTTACTTGATGGTCATACTTACATGGATTTAATTCCTCTTCGATATCATTTAATGGTCAAACTTAAAGGGATATCACTTGATGGTCACATCAGACAGGGATGACTAAGATTAAAAAATAAAGGGATCAAGCATGTTGATCCTTTAATTTTAAAGCGCCCACATTGAATAGCAAGATCAAAATTTACCATAAATAAAAATGGATTTGATATTTTACCAAAGGTGTGCTGTATACCAGTGGAGAAGTTTGACGAGTGTAGAACAGCCTACGGGACAGATGAAGATATTATATTTATTCACTCAACTCAAACCATCAAATGACAAACAAGAATGAACAATAAATCTGTTTGCTATGGAGGCAAAGTCAATGCACTGCATCCAGGCAACGCAGACAGAGAGAAATCCGATTGGATTAACAGACGAGTTTAACCTTCACATGGAGCCCCTTAGAATTAGATATTACCCGTAGAAGTAGATATTACCCATACATTTTCTGATTTTTTTTATAGTGACCCCAAACAAAAGTAAATTTATCGGCCTATGATTTTATGTTTGAAGTCCTACAAGAAACATAAAATAGCAATATTATAATGAAATGTTTTTGACAAATTTTGCGACAGCAGATCATTTATAAGTTTTCGCACCCCCTCTGTTAACTGTGTTACTTGAAACCTGAAATTGAAAACGCATATCACTGACAACTGTAACCATCCTTTCTGAATTTTTTAAAATTTACATTTATGTATTTTTATGTGCTTTTTTAACCTTGTAGGTTGTTAATCCTAATCATACACATATCTTAATAATATTGTTAAGCTTAATACAGTGATAACCAGAAAACTCTGGAATAGGAAGATGACTTTAAGGCTTAAGTTGTGACTTTTAAAGAGTCCAATAAACATGGGACACAGAAAGTGTTCGGTGTAAACAGACCAATTTTACTTAATAAGTGATTTAACCAGCAACTAATAAAAGTATTTGCTTTGTAACACCATAATATACACTTAAGTACTTCTTAAAGTCGTCTTCCTACTTCGGAGTTTTCTGGTTATTACTGTAGACATTTCAATGTTTTATTGTTGATGCCTCTCAAAATTTCAAGGTTTTTAAGAATTTTGTTAATAAGAAGAAAAATGTTTTGAGCGAGTAAATAATATTTAAACATCCTGGAATGCTTTGTAATAGTCTATTAAGACTTGAAAAAAATTTAACATTAGAAGATATAAACATGTCTAGCCCAAACAACAGCTGATCTGTCTAGAAAACGTTGTAAAAGATATTTTATAGTGTTAAAATATAAATGTTACATTAGAAGATTTAAACATGTCTAGCCCAAACAACAGCTGATCTGTCTGGAAAACGTTGTAGTGTAAAGGATATTTTATATTGTTAAAATATAAATGTTACATTAGAAGATTTTAACATGTCTAGCCCAAACAACAGCTGATCTGTCTTGAAAACGTTGTAAAAGATATTTTATAGTGTTAAAATATAAATGTTACATTACAAGATTTAAACATGTCTAGCCCAAACAACAGCTGATCTGTCTTGAAAACGTTGTAGTGTAAAGGATATTTTATATTGTTAAAATGAAAAATGTAACTAACAGCAATATTCCTAATTTTGATACAGGGTGTCCCACGACACATGATAGTTGCAGGTGAATAGTTTAAAATTTCTTCTTCCATAATTTGTTAACTTGTCTGATACCAAAGAGACATATGGCAGTCATATTATGTTAAAATAGATTTCAAAGTAATATATATTTGAGTACTGAAAAATTTTAAAAGAAATAAACCGGAAAATGACTGGAAAGTGTCTAATAAAGTATATGGAAGAAGACATTTAAAACTGTCACGTTTTGTGGGACACCCTGTAGTAAAAAGGAATTAGAAGGCGTAAAGGCTGATATTGAATTGAATTAAATGTACTTTTTCTATGTTGCATATTTACAGAGAAAATGGTCAAACACGTCATATACCCTTAAGAGTGTAGCGTTCATATAAATTCACATAGTTGCAATATTCCACTCAGATCGTAATATATTTCAATTAAATTTAACATTAATCATTCAGATATTAGAACCTGTAAATGTCGAATTCAATTCGACGCATTTGTTTATAGTTAATCTATATAAAAAAAAACTCTTCGCTCTATATATATATATATATATATATGAAAATTGAGAACCTAGGACTGAGAAGCTGCTGTGATTGTTGCTGTATAGTTATATGTTAGCTATAGCTGAAAAAACGGCTGGACCAAATTGGCTGACATTTTCTGTGGAAACCGATGGGTACCCGGACAGTAACATAGGCTAAACAATTTGAATTTTTGTTTCTTCTTCAAAAATCTGTTTATATTTCTTCAAAATTCTATTTGATATCAGAAACACACCTTGCGGCAGAAAAATTTAAAAAATAATAATAAATATTTTAAATAGTATTTTGAAAGTTTTTTGTTACACAATGTAAATTGTAGATTCTTGACAGAAATCTGAAAGAAATTTCATTAAAACTTTATTTTTTTGTATCAGTAGAAAGTTTTTTGTACTTAAAAACTTAATTTTAACTCCCTGAAACCCTGGAAAGTTCCAGTAGGAAATTTTTTAATTATTTTATTTTTAATTAGTGCATTTCCGCCAGTTGACTTCAGTGAGATTAGCTTGCATATTTTACTGCAAGTATACAATTCATAATATCATTTTTTCTTAAAGGGAGTGTCTGACTAGACTTGGTAGTTGAGCTAAGAATGCAGTATTGTAGAAAATTTTAATTCTTCATGATTCATGAATTTGTTGGCATATTTTCAAATTTGGTCTTTTCAATAAAATTTCCAGAAAATCTACAGAACATATTTGCAAAAACATGAGACATTACAGAAACCAATACCTGAATAAGAATAGATGCTGTAAGGACTACAGTATATACTGTGAGGATAGAGTAGATACTGTGAGGACTACAGTAGTTACTGTGAGGACTGCAATAGATGCTGTTAGGACTTCAATGGAAACTATTAGGACTACAGTAGATACTGTGAGGACTACTAGATGCTATCAGGACTTCAATGGAAACTATTAGGGCTACAGTAGATACTGTGAAGGACAACAGTAGATATAGTGAGGTACTTTAAGGACTACAGTAGATAATGTGAGGACTACAATGGATACTAAAAGGACTGCAGTAAATACTGTGAGGACTACAGTAGATACTCTGAGGGCTCCCGTGGATACTTTGAGGACTAACATTAAACATCAAAAATCAAAAAACGATCGTTTCAAAAACAATTAACAACCCTAACTGTACAGTAAGGTGTCCGCGGATAACCAACTTTTGAAAATAGATGCGCACGGTAGCTTTTCCTATTCCAATGTGAACTGTGAGAACTAATCTAAATTTTTAGCTTCTGCTCAATATCTTAAACACTAGGATATATATATCGCTGCTAAAGTTTGGAAAAGACCTATATAGCTTCAAAATGTTTTTTTTATTTTTTAATTCTTTAATTGGTCATGTCGTTTATCATTTTCTTTGTAATTGTCTAGAAAGATGAAATCCGTGGAAATTTTATAAAAATTTCAAAAATTGACTGAGTTATAATTGTTTTTAATCTTTGTGACAGAAACAATCTCAAGAACTCACGAGGGTCAACCCAGACCGAAATATATTTTCAATAAATGTGGAACTAACATCTACTTTTTTTACTCTACAGAGGTTTGGTCCATCTTACTCACCGAATTTTAAATAAGTTAAAATAAAAAACGCTAAAAAATGTATTTTCTAAAAAACGAGCGTTTTAGACGGTTTTATGGACATAAATCATTAATCTTAATATTTAGGGTTAAACTGTATGAAAACTAAAAATTTTACCTTGAATGTAGAATATTTTTTAATTTTTCAACAACTTAAGTTATTTTAACTTGTTAACTTAATGTTAAAGTGAAAGTTCGATGTTCCCTGAATTTCTATTAATTCCTACTCCACCAATCCTAACATCTGGTAAAGTGGAAGAGATGTTCATGCTTTTCTTTCTAAACATGATGTACTTTGTTTTTCTGATGTTTAATGTTAGTTTATTACTTTTGAACCAAAGTGCTGCCTTACTAAGTTCAATATTGGATCTATCTATAAGATCTAATTGACTTATGTCTGACATAAACAATCCTGTATTATCCGCAAACAGGGATGAGAAAAATTTAGTTGCATTCTGTAAATCATTTATAAATAAAAGAAACAGAAGAGGTCCTTACACCGACCCTTGAGGTACCCCGACTTTAATATATTTTTGTGTAGATTGTGTCCCTCAATACTGACAAATTGTTTTCTATTTGTCAGAAACTTTTTAAATCATGAATTATAGTTGTCCCTCTAAATCCATAATGTTTAAGTTTATTTAGCAAAATATCATGATCTGTAGTTTCAAAAGCCTTTTTTTTAGGTCCAAAAATATTCCTATAAAATATTCAGGATTATCTGTTTTATTTAGACAAGAATATATTTATCCAGAATTTGTAAAATTGGCTTTTTGGTATCAATCATGCCCAGGTCTAAATCCATACTGATGACATTATAATATTATAATATTATTGTTCCTATCCAAATTGCATATGCAAAGTAATGTTCCTCCTTAATCAAAATTGTAATATTGTTCCTAATTTACATGCATAACTTTCCTAGAAATTTCTTTTGTTCTTGCTTTGTGTTCCTATTATTGACTAATTGTTCCAAATTCATGAACAGTTTGAATGACGTTTTTTGCACATATGTAATGTATGTTTGCATTTTTTGTTCCGTAGTTAATAATCCTGTAGGATGTACCTTCATGTGTTGATCATATTTCATGTTTTGAGAATTACGTTCTATAATTTTTGTTCCTAATTCCTATAGTTCTTTATTTTTGATCCTAACTTGAAACTTGCTTTATGTTGCTATTTTTGTTCCTATTCCTAACACTGTGTCCCTAGAGACTTAATCCCTGTCTAAAATTCTTTATTTTTGTTCCTAAATCCTTAACAATCTTTTTATTGTTCCTTAGATTATGTATTTAGTTAATATTTTCTTGTTCTTATGTTCTTATTGCAAGCATAAAACTCCTGCTTGTTCCTAGCTAGCTCAATAGTCAATGTTCCTCATTTGATGTTCCTAATCTAGTTTTCCTTTATTGTTCCTATAAACTCACCCAACATTTGTGTTATTGTGTTGTTTATTAAACCTATCAAAGTTATTTTTTTGTTAACCTTGTTTCAAAATCCTAAATTCTTTAACTTACCTGTTTTTGTTCCCAATTTTCTTCTTATCTATGATTTGTTAAGTTCTTTGTTTTAGTATTTAATATCATAATTCCTTACTTCCTATAACTTGAAAAGGGGCACATATGATTAATCAAATTAAGAACATTATTTGATAAAATTTAAAACATCTTTTGCCTCAAAATCGGGGGAGGGGGCCGTCGCTCCCCCCTGAATCCGTCAGGAGGGTGCGAAGGTACTCCCGCCCCCCTTGTGTCCGCCTTTGGCTTAAGTCCTTCTTTGCCAATAAGGTTAATCATGATCATGCTGGAAGTGAGGAAGGAAGGGGGCCGAGAGGGGCGAAATATGCTGAGGGGGGACGAAACTCGGTACGCTCCACCCCCCTTGTTTGCCACTACTACTATACTCATGAATTTAACCTAGGCCCATAAATCACAGGGGGGGGGGGGCAGGGACCCCTGGGATTCCCGGGGGCGAAATAGGCCCGCGCGCGCCATGGATCGTCTGTTCTTTATTGTTTCTGCCATTAAGAATCAATTCGGTCTATGTCAAAGGAGATTATGGGACTGTGGAGTGGGGGGGAGGGGCGATTCTGTTTATTCTTTGAGAATGCCCATTGTTGCCCACCCCATAAAAATTTTCCTGACTGGCTAGGGTTTAAAATTTTAGAAGTTCATATTGGATGGAAATTTCCGTGTACTTTCGTGGGGTTGGCGGACATGGCCTTAAAGTCCGATTTGTAAGTCAAGACCTCCCGATAAACTTATTCAAAATGCCAGTATTTATAGAAACTATAACCATTAACCAAAGAGAATGACTATAACAAAGCTTGCTGCGGTCTATTGGATTATTGTTAAAAGACCCGTTCGTAGACTATGATTTAAAAATTGAATTCAGCATGCAGAATTAGTATAGTATGATATGTATCTGTAACGAATCGGGTTCTTGTGTTTAATAATCAGCTCAACGCACTGCCACGGCAGCCCTGACAGCCTCCATTTCCAGGGGGTTATTTAAGTATTTTTCTTAAAAGGGTATACTGCCTACGGGGTTGGGAGGGGGTTCTTCTTATTTCTTAAAATGTAAAATTTGAAGCCTTGCAGTATCCTTTGATAGGATAATTTGATATTATTCATTTAAATATATATTATTTTTATTGTTCAATCCTTTGAAAGACGGCGCTGTTTTCATGCTGGCCCGTCGCTGACCCCGACCGCCTTGTCTCCGACTAGACTGTTGTCTGTCTATCACTGTTACTAGTTATAAATTAGAGTGTACGCAGTGCAGACTTCAGTCCTATACGATCAGCTGATCAGTGTTTTGTGACCAGTGTACAATTAGTTCAATCAAAACAATTCAAATTGCGAGATTTTAAAGGGTTAAACTTGTAAAGGTATGTTTATTAAATTTATCAAGGAGTATTTTATAT